CCATCGAACGCGTTTGTCAACCAAGGCCGTTAAAGGAAATAAACACGAACACTTTCGCCCATATAGACGGCCACTTGTCAGTTCTAATTGACAATAGAAACCGAAACTGGCAGAAGGGGGAAAATAAGATGAAGGAAAATTGGAAGTGGGTGAAATGGGCAAAAGCTGGATGGGCGGAAGGGGCTCTCTTTTATCAAATCTCCGCCCGAGGGCACCAGGACAAGACGACCCTTGTTGAAACTCAATCAAACGCCCACGTATTCGGTGAAAAGTTCAAACAATGAAGTTGCTGCCACTTTCGAGCACCGAAAGTGCTGCTGCTGATTCCGATACTAAAGGCCGAATGGTGATGACGATGCGAATGCTAAGGCTGCCAAGCTACTGCCTGGCCTCAGTTAAATAGACAATTTTGCACACAAATCCATTTAATCTAGAGATAAATAACATTTAGGGCTGGGCTCAACAGCCCGCCCAGCTTTCAAGTTCGAGACCAATAAGGACACTATGGAAAAATGAGGTATTGAATATATTACAAACATTATTATTAATTTAATTTTAAAAATATATACATTTTATATTGCCAGATCTTACTGCTCTTAAGATTTAGATTTTTAATTTAACATCTATTACTTTCCCTAATAAACTATTTTTCTTCAAGTGTCCACCCAAAAAACCCCAAAAAAGAGGTTCCTGCTTTGTGGGGGGCACTTAACGCACCCGGAAAATTCTTACGCAGCAACCTAATGATTCCCCTGCAGATCCTGTGGTCCGCCCACAAAATGGTTGGCAAGGACCTTCGGCTCCATTGCGTTTCCGCTTCCTGTTCCTACCGCATCCGCACTCACATCCGCTCGCATCGATTTGTGTGAGGCGGCAATAAAATCCACTGTGATTAGGTTAAAACTGTTGACTTTCGAGCAAGGCTCTCTCTTTCGGTCTGCTGATGTTTTGCCTTTCCAACGAGAGGACGAATCAAAGTGGTTAACCCCTCGACACACACACAAGCACACCCGATACACCCCCTTCGAATGACTGTTGGTAAATCGAAAGAGATAAAAATACCCAAATAGCATTCGACTGAAATGTGATTGTGTCGCCGCTCTACCTCCTCCGCTGGCTTTCGGCTCCCGCAGTGTGACACTCATTTATTTAATGGTTTTAACTTCCAATTTTCCAATTGTCAGACGTGCAGCCAGATGGCCATTAACCAGAGCTGAAAGCCAGAAAAAAAAAACAAAAACTACGGAAAGTGCTTTCGAATAGAAAGTCGATAGATAGTTTGAACTAAGCCCAGAGAGAAGTTGCTAATACCCTGTTAAATAAAAATATGTATATTTTTAGTTGAATATCACCTTTATTAAAATATATATGTATATAAGCTCTCAGGGAAAGCTAACTTGAAGTATTTGTGGAAATTGTTGAAGAAAAGTTGCATAAAAAGTTACAAAACGTCTAAATCCATGTATTGTTTTGTGCTTTTAACGAGCTTCTTCCTGTACTTCCAACCAATTATAAAGTTTGCATTTAGTTTGTCTTGCTAAGAAAAAGTGGGATAATTGGACAAAGATTGCAAAGTTCAGGTAGATATGGTTGAGTGTTTTATGTTATGAAAACATGAATTTTAATTGGTAAAAAAGTTCTTAATACAAGTTTTTTTAATAAGACTAAATTAGTTTTTCAAAGAATTTATAAAAGTAAGATAAAGAACACAGCACCTACCGTCCGATTTAAACTATAATTCCCAATGGGTTTTAGCAGGCTGAATGCTTAAGTTGATTAGTAAGAGATACTAATGAGAAATGTTTCCATTTTAAAGTAGTTTAAAAATACATTGCTGCTAAAATAAACATTGTTTTGTAATTAGAAACTTCAAACTAAACCCCTTAAGCCTTAACTATTGCTTAAAAATAATGATTGCAAATAATTCAAGAGAATTTCCAATTAATTTCACACATTCGACGTGGCATCACATTGTGAATTCTGAATTCATTAAGAAACCAATCAACCGAAACAGCTCCAATTTCCATTCAAACTTAACTTAATTAAAGCCCAAATATATATGCAGAACAGAATATTCGCCTCACCTTTTGTGCATGACTCAACTATGCAAACACCATTTAAGCGCTGACAACGTTCATCACTTTAATTATCCATAAATTAAACTGTCGAATTTTGCTTTCAATTCGGAATGTCAATCAGTGTGGAGGAGAATCCCTTCAGCAGCAATTCCCAAAATGTAAATTTCATATGATTCGAGCAAGGAAGAGGATCTAGAAGCAAGTGTTGAGCTTTGAAAAATTAACAAACCCCAATGAATGTTCGTTATACCTAACATGCCAGGGCACAATTCGCTGATGCTGCATGTGATTTGTGCCACTGAACGTGGAGGCAAAATCCGGAAATGGAAAAATCCCCTCAAGAGCTAATGAGTTTCAAATAAATATAAAATATGTGTGTATGTTCAGAATATTTGCACGTGTGCGTCGAGGATATAAAATGCAAAATCAGTGGAGGGAAAAAGGAGAAAAAAAAAACAACAAATGAACAAAATGGCACACTAAAGTTTACAAATGCAAATAAGATACTAAGCAAAGTCAGCAGCAACAAATATGTCATATCGGCCCAGGGAACGGGAAAGAGACAGGCGTCAGGCAGCAGACGACAGACTGAGATGGCCATGGTAGCGGATAGACAGATGCAAATGGGGAAAAGAGATGGCCAGGCAGCCAGTCAACCAGTCAGAGAGAGATAGAATTGGAGAGGGAGAGAGATGGGACGAGGCTGACAAGCGAAAACATTTATGAGCGCTTGGTTCGTCTGTTGTGGACTTTTACAAAAGAATTGTAGAATATTTTTTAGCTATATGAGAGTATGCAAAATATTCCAATGGCGGCTATATCTCTGCACAGGGAATATTTTGAGAAAAACTTAAAAAATAATAATATTTTTACTAAAGAGAAAATGTTCAATATGATATCTATGAAAAATATCGCCCTCACTATCATAGCGAAAAGTTATCTGAATATATCGAAATATGTGTATCGTAATATATCGCATTTTTAACATTATCGAAAAATGCATGATCCAAAATATGTTATTTAATTAATATCTCTCACAGATAACATTTAAAATATTCGAAAAAACAAAATTATCGAGAGATTTTTTATTATAATTTCTTAAAATTATATTTGGAACTAATCTTAAGCTTTTGTTGACACAATTCGATATATCAAAAATAAAAGCAATAGATAAAACATATATGGGAAAATTAGAATATTGATACAGTATCCATATATCTATAGTTAATACAATCCCTAATTTATACCAACTTTTTTAATCTTACTACTGAAATATAAGGCTAAAGAAATCCTCACGATTATGCTAAAAAGTAGACAATGTTTTTTACCCACTAAGTGCTAGCAGCTAACAATTTGATTTCTGGTAAATTTAAGCTACTTTCCATATTTTTTATTTAAAAATAAACTTTAAAATTGTATAAAAAAGCACAGAATATATTTTTATAAGCTCTTAAAATATTGCAACAACATTACAACCCAAAATCCCTTCCTAAACCCCTTCAATAAGTCAAAACTCCACATCCAAGCATCTCAAAATCACATACCGCATTAACCAAGATTTCAAGCACACATTTTCTCTCTCTGTACGTGTATGGCGCACCCATACACATGTAGCTACAAGCTGTAGCTCAAACACAGGAAATGTAATTTGCATAAGAATAACACACAGACACGCCAAAAGGATGGGAAAGTGGGGGAAAAACAGGAGCAGGAGCAGAAGCGGGGAAGGGGGTGGACAAAACCATGTGGATGTGGCTGCCAAGATATAGAGGGGCATATGGCACACATATTGAAGTGTAGTCTATATGGGCGAAATGGCTAAAGGGGACGGAACGGGGACCGAAGTGTCCTTTAACGAGATTTGCATCTCATCATAATAATGTAAATGACGGACCGGGGCCAAAACCGAGGGAAAATGCAGAAAGGGTAAGAGGCAACATTTTCGGGCGGCTGCCTGGCTTTAGCACAAGTTGGCCCAAAAGGGTATTCTATTAAAGGCGGGATTACATCGCAATGAGGGCCCATTCACTTTGGCTCAGCAGCATTCCGAAGCGATTCAATTAGCCTAACCGCTTTGGACTTAAATATGGAATTGGATTTGGATTTGCATGTGTGGCCAGCAGCAACAGTTGAAGTTGCCTCATTTTGAGTTAAATTCTGAAATTCCTTGTCTGCCGATGACAGGAGTTAAATGGAATTTTTGGCCTTAGACCAGTCTGAAGTGCACTTGCTGGTAGGAAATATCAAGTAGATTGCCCAGAAATGCACAGGTTTTATGAAAGTAATTTAAATACCATCTTTACAAGCCTTAAATGTTACTATTCCTCTATTTATCTGAGGATTTACAACCTTAATCTGACTAAAGGATATGTAAACGGCTGCCCATTTTATATTCTTATAAATATATCGGGGATTTTTCGTTTCTTTTTGTGTGCCACAATCAAGATTTCACCAACAGACGTCGTGGTTATTGAATGAATTGTCAAAAAGAATTCGTATGCTGCATTTGAAGTTCAAGTTGAATATTCGTATAAGCGGTTTAAAAATGCCTGCTATTGATGGGCAGTACATGTATTCAAGGGTTCATGTATAATATAATTCAAGAACCAATGAAAAAAATGTTACAAAAACCAATAAAGTGTGGAAAATATTGAAGGAGAGATTAAAAATTTAAAATTGGATTGCAAAGAAAACAACAATAAATTTTAATAAAATATTGTATATGAAATTTTTATGGGTTATTAAAAACTAGAAAAATTAGTAGAGAACTTAAACCAAAATTTTAAGCACCAATATGACAAGGGTAATAAAAGTGATTCAAAAAATAAACAAATTACCTTCATTTGCATTTTAATGAGAAATGTATATATATATATATATATATTTTTTTGTATATTGTATTAAAGACTTGCTCTACTCGAGCAAAGCCTTAGTTTACTTACAAATTTCCAAAAGTGACATCAACATGAAGGCGTTTCTTATTCTTTACATTATCGGTGAGAAATGTGGGATTATATTATGATATTTTACTAATTCCTTTACCATACCATACCAGTAATTCTTCTGGTTTTTGGTAAGGCTCAGCTATGCAATCCCACGTGCACCAGGGAAATGAATCCACACTGCGGAGTAACCGCCGAGTGCCACGTACCTGCAGCCAACCTCTGCCTTTTGAGGTACAAAGCTTGCATACTTGACCAACATCACATGTCACGTAAGTTGAATTCAATTTTATAGATATAATGGGCAACTCATAGACTCATTTCTCTTCCACAGCAATTATCAATGTTTTGCCTGGGCATTGTCCTAATAACTGGCCAATATGCCCAGAAATTTAAAACTTTCTTTAACATGAAGGCTTATACTCTATTCTTTCTATTTACTATAAGTAAATCCTTTTTCTACCAAATGTAACACATTTTAAAATGTTTTGATTAAAGTAATGCCCTTTGGGTTAATTTAAATAGAAAGAAAGTTATTTGGAGTATTTTATAAATAGGTGTAATCCTTTTGATTTCCTTATATTACAAACTTATATAAAATATTATTATTTGTAAATTACTTTAGAGCTTTAAATATAAACTCTCCGAAATACACACTCCCTTTCTTGAATTTAAACTCTGCTATTCCCCAATTTAAAAGTATTTTCCCCGTTTTGTTCAAGTTCCACTCCAAATAATCCTCAATTCTAATGATAAATGCCTTTTAAAGTAACACCTTATTGATGACTATCTGTCAAAGACGAGCTTTCGATTTTCGGGGAAAGGATAGAAAAATTCCAGTCTGGTTTTCGCATAAAATGATTTTACTTTCAATGGATGCCAAGTTTAAGGTTAATCCCGCATTTGTTGCCATCACTTCCGTTTAAAGTATCACCTTATTGATGGTTTCCGTTGCGATGGGGAAAATAGTTTTCAGCTAAGGAACGGTGCATGGAAAACCCTTTTTGCTTTGGCCCGTCACCTTCGGCATGGCAATTTATTTCGCAACACTCGCCGGACAAAGTTTTGTTTCGAGGTTTATGGGCGATGGCTTCTCCTACGAGTATAACCACTCCGGGGCCACGTCCAATATCCAACCATGCACGCAAAAGTTTGCCAAAAACTTCTCCCGAGTCTAACAAATTCAATTTGTCAGGCTTGGCGCGCCTCGGAGTGCGGCTAATCCATTTACAATTTCAAAGTAAACAAACAAAATGTATCCTCAGCTCGACGAGACATTTAGCCCCGGTTTTTCGGGACCAGAGTTTTTGGGGCCAGGGCATGAGTTTGAATTTGAGTCTAAGTTGGATTTCTCGTTTGGATTTCCAATGAAAATGCAGCGAAAACTTTGCTGCCAACAGCTTTAGGCGAGAGTTTATGCAGTTTTGACAGCCTACTTTTCACACTCAAGGGAAATTCTGAAAGGTTTTTAGAAATACCTATGACTTGAGAAGACAGAAAAAATTTATAAATAATACTTGAGCTGAAAATATAAATTTCTTATTATTATTTCCAGGAATTCTTTTATAATAATAAATATAATTTAAGAAAATAATAAAATAAATCTACTAAAAGATGTATAATTTTTCCCAAGTGCAGGCTTAAACAGACGACACGGCACTTGAATAAAATAAAAAGTCCCATTCTTCTTTCACTTTTCGCCTTTTTGCCGAAATAGACAGCTGTTTCTGGTGGGCGGCTGCTCTCTCAAGAAGTTTACGCGACTGTAAAGTTGCACTTTGTGTTCTTTTATAGTTTTTATTATATATCTACGTTTTATTTTTTGTATTTGCCCCTGAAACGGCCCAAACAAAAGCGAAAGCTGTGTGGCATAAACTAAACCTAAAGCTTTGGCGTTTCCAGTGGAAAATTACTTATTCAGTGGGCGTGGCCCCCGGAGCCAGCCCGCATTTTAGTTGGAATTGGTTTTTAAGGCTTAAGTCCTTAAGTCTTCAAAATCAGATTTAAGCCTCTGATTTATGAGTTGTGAAATGGGAATTTATGAAAACTAAAAGTTAAACTACGGATGCTGCATTCGGCTAATAGTTGAGTTGATTAAATTGTTTTCTGTTGGGCATTTCAATTAACAATTTAAATTGTTCAAAGTTTAAGTGCTACCAGTTGGTCATTCAAATAATGCGCATACGCCCTGGGGACACGTTTCCTTTTGATTGCCGGAATTATGCGACTTTAATAAACTGTTGCCAATTTAATTGTTTCCTTCGGGGTTTTGAGTGGAGTGAAAGTTGCCTAAGATTGGGTGGGGATTTTGTCACCTCAATAAGAAGGCTAATGGTATTTCTGTGAAGTTAATTAAATTAAATGTAAGGTGCTTACTTGGGGTAAATAGCTTTAATTAAAATGAATCTGACATGTGAGGATAATGGAATAAAGACCGGTTCTATATCAAACCAAAATAATGTCAAACAAGCAGAGAGATTTTTTTCGGAAGGTAGCACACCTACTTCATCCGTATTTAATGCTTTTTAAAATACAATGTTTATTAAAAAACGTATGTATTTAGAACATAATAAGTACCTTACCACATAAACCTTACTCAAAAATAAGGAAGTACACGCCTAACGAAGGGTTCGCCGCTACAAAGTGGTCAATTAAATATCGCGCATACGCCCCGTAAGCAGGAGGATTTCCTCTTAACCTGAATTTAATTAAATATAACCTTATACTCTCTCGCCGCCAGCTACTTTAAGTGTGTATTTAAATAAGAGCCTTCAATCGCTTATAGTTTAAGTGGCGAAAAGGCCTCCTCTCAACTGAAGCAAATTGGTCAACTATATAACGCGCATACGCCCCATGGACACGTTTCCGTTTGATTGCCGCGGAGTTTACCTGAAAATTAAATTCGAGGATTTTGCATCCAGGCAAGGAATCTATATATAGCTATATATACCAGAGGTTATATACGTGTACTTCGGCCTTCTCTGTTTGTGTGTGCGTGTACCTTCGTGTAATGCCAACGGCGGCAATTTCTTGTACAACAATTTGTGAGTCTGCTGCGCTCAGCACTCACGTAATGAGCATAAACTACAGGCACAAAAAGTCCAGCACCCACACATACACAGCGCATACCCCCATATACACAGGCTGGCAAAGATGGCTAAGAGAATATCGCGCTGCCGTGCACATAATTGGTGCAAAAAGTTTGAAAATTATCACGGAAGCAAAGCCGAAACACGTACATACATCACCGTCAGCGGACGCGAGATGGCATAATGTTGGAAGGCACTTCCCCAGGTCTCTTGCACTTACAAAAAATAAGCCAGGGATTTAGCCAGTTAAGAACTTAACAATATTTAATATTTAATTTGAAAACTTTAAGATTCCTGAAATGGGTAAAACAATAATAAATAATTTATAATATATGATGGTTAAACCCTTGTGTAATTTTGTATTTAATTCCATTTAATAAAATTATTCAGTTGTTTTTGGTGTATCCCTACTCTGTACTCCCACTTTTTTAGGCCCTTTTATGGCGGAACACCTTGTGACCCGGGCTGAGCCTTAAATAAGCGCCGCCCGGAGCTGGGTTCGGTTCGCCTTTGGCCGGCCAGCGGCCAAAATTTATTGAAGCGAAGGCGACTGTCCTAATCCTCGACCCTAATTACTCATAGAGCCCGTAGGTTACAGACCTCGTCCAACAATTACATCCGTGGCTCGTGTTTAGTCTTATCCCCTGAATAAAAAGCACACCCAGGCGGAAAGGCGGAAAATGTTTCACTTTGTGTTAAACTGAAGAGTTTCCGCTCTTAGCTTTTTTTTTGGGGTAAGCAATTAGCCGGGGCATAGTGATTAAAAAGTGGAAATGCTAGAAGTCGAGTTGATTACACGCCGATTATCATCAGCCGAAAATGGACAGCATTAACAGGAAATTGTAAGCACTGGAGATTGTCAAGATAGTTCCTTATAGTCCTTATTTCTTTAGTAAATTTAGGTTAATTTTTAAAGTAAGCATTTACTGGTTTCAATGATTTGTAAAATATAAATAAACATTATCATAAACTTAAAACCTTAGTATAATAAATAATAAGCTTTTATTTTCAATTAATTCTGATTCTCCAAATGCCTGCTAATGCAGAGTCAGCCACAGGCAAAAACAAAAAAAAACAATGGAAATTACATTTAAATGAAACATCATGAGGGATCAAATTCCATTATGATATCTGGTTTCAATCGCTGACCCAGAATTCCACCAGAAATGTGGAAAAATTAATTAATTTGTAACCTTTTCCCCAAGCTCATACACTCACACGGCACACAAAAGTTTATTTTTGTTGGTTGTTGCTTTTGGCCCCAAAGATATGTTGATTCACATTTAATTTAGTGTAAAAAGCAAGTTCTTTTTCATTATATTTTATGTTTACCAACTAATAAAAAGCAAAACGTTTCACTTTACACCGAAACTGCGAAAGACTTTGAGCCCCATGGGCCACTCGGAATTACACTGGACTGCAAGAGTCCCATTAAGTGTGTGTGGGGTGTGGGTGTGTGCCGGCCATTAAAAAGTTTTTCCCCCTTTTCCCAAGAAGGAGTTGGTTACTGGTCCTGGGTGCTGCTGGTGCTGCTGCTGCTCTTGGACCCGGTATGGATTCAGATACAGGTTCCAGTTCTAGTGGCGCTGCCATTGGCACCTGTGTGTTGCCAGTTGCCAGTTGCCGGTGCCGGGTGCAGCTGAAAATACGTTTGCATATGAATTTTTCAAAATGTTTTTTGCACTGACCTCGTTTACGGGTCAGAGCGGCTATGAAAAGTTTGCCCTGCAAACTAAATTGCCGTTTGCAACTGGAGGAGGAAGGAAGACACGGTCTCCGGCTTTGAGTTTTTTACTTTTCCTCTATTTTTTTGTACATTCCTTGGTTTTTTTTTGCTATTTTTTTCCTGAGAGTAGTACTCCGCTCAACCCACTTCTCTTTTTTTTTTTTAGTTTAGTTTACACCGGCGGTGCAGCATATTGAAATGCGATTACAGGGCTCTGGCCTGGTGCCTGGTGGATTCATGTTCATTAAACATGCATAAACACACACACACACACACACACACACACACACACACATACACATAGAGGGGCAAACACCCACTTATACAGGCGCCAAAGAGAGCCAGCCTGGAGGAGAGGCTGAAGGACAGAGATAGCGGGTTTTGGCACACACAAAACATTTTGGGGTTCTTTCAAAGGTTGGCAGTATATAACGATATATCTATAATACATATATCGATTTTTGACGATAAGGCCGATACATAAATCGATATTTTAACGTTGCGATAAACTGGTTTTCTGTTTTATATAAAAATTATCCTTGAATATTTATAAATTTATTCGATATTTATAGATATTTTTACGGTAAACTATATATTCTTTGTCTTGATAGAGAAAAAACATATATACACCTACATTTTTTCGAGTGTAGCGGATTGCAGAGCTCGCAAAAGCTGTAAAATTTCGGAAGCAGCTGTCCCCAGGCACATGTAAACAGTTTCAATTTTCAAAGCGATGTGCTAATTTTAAATCAATTACATGACGTGACGACGACACTTTCCACCCCAACCCCTCCACAAAAATTACCAACAAAAAAAAAGCAAGCCCCAAAATAAAACCCCATCTCTATACCATCTTTAAATTCCAGATGCTGGCATTGAAATTTCGCCTGGCATCGGGACAATAGACGGGTGTAATCGCAATCGAAAATGCGTACACAAGTCAGAAATGTTTTTCTGGCAACAGTTGGCGTTAAAAGTTTGCGCCTGTCGTCGACAGTGGATTTACTTATGGCAGAAAGTTGTAGCCAATGCCAATACCAATGCGAATACGAAAATACCAAGGCCCCCAAGGCGACGCCCTCAATTCATTTTACACTCATTTTTGGCACACAGGAAAAACACAATGGATATTCAGTCATCAATTTAATTATTTATTAACAGAATTTTATTTTAAAGTCTACGCTAAAGTTAAATTCTCTTCATGCATTTAAATGTAAGCTGAGTAAGGCCAGCAAGAGACATTGATAGAAAAAGGCTGTAAATCTTCCTTTAAATTGTAATTCTAAATATATCCTTCAAGTTTTATTTATATATTACAGATAAATATTTTGATCATTAAATATGTATGACCTTATTTTCCCTGTAAATGTTTAATTATCCCTGTAATCCTATTCCCTAAACATTAGTTAGCAATTATCATAAGAATTACTATAGCAACTGCCATGACTTTTCCTCTGTGCATCAAGTGTAAAATGTCTTTTGGGGGAAAGAAGAGACAAAAAAAATATATAGGCTGGGGGGAAAAGTTTCCTTAGTGCTACATTTGGCGACACAGCAAACTGCCAAATTGAAGGCATCTGCCTTGTGGTTCGGTGGGTTGGTGGTTTCAGTTGGTTTCAGTTGCTTTCGTACGGTTTCGGATGCTTTTCCCCCACCAAAATGAGGTGGACTTAGCTCTGCCGCATGTCCTCATGGCCCCATTCCCTGGTTTCTCGGTGCTTTGATGCCTCCTCCACACATAAGTTTCAAAAGATGGCAAAGGAAATGGAAAATGTGGTGTGAAGAAGAGAAAGCAACAGTTTTTCGTGCACTGTAAAAATTCCAGGAATTGTGAGGGAGGGCCTAAAATCGAAAGCTGTTTAGCAAGAACAAGCACTATTTGTTAGAAAAAGTTTCACAAGAATTCGGAAAAACCCAACCAAAGAGGGCGAGAATTTGCTTTCAGGCAATTCTAAGAAACTTTATTGAAAATGTAAATTAAACTGAAGCAACTAGAGCTTAAAATTCAAAATGAAGGGAACACAATAGGTAACCTACTTGAATAAATCAATGTATTTAAAAGTAATTTACAATATTTAATATTTAATAAATATTTGAAATATCTTAATTTACTTAACAAAACAATAAAAACAAGTTACAGTATAGTTTTATACACTCCAACTGCATTCAATTGAAATAAAAGCTTCCTAAGGGAATAAGCCGCCTGAGAAAATTGGCTATGAAAACATACAATGGACATTTTCTTAGGCTCCAAAAGAAACCAAATCGATTGGAAGAATATTATTGTAATGCCAAGCATTATATTATACCCACATTCATAAACTATTTTTGCTTCATTGATTTTCCCTGCCGCCGCTTAAAAAGAATCCTCTCAAAGTGTAGGATATGTTTTTATGCCTGGCAACATACATTTGTATATATACATATATATAGTATAAGATTCAACAGGCCCACATTTTCCCATTTTCCCCGGCACTTTTCTTTCCTCTTTCCCCTGTGCCTTCTCGCTTTTTATTTGACTTAAATAAATACATTCAAGTGAATATGGCGGTGGGTGTCTGTGCGACGTTCTTTATGGTAAAAAGTTCGGGACGTCAAGTCGAGTCGAGTAAATATATGTGTTTGTTCAGACACACAAGTACGTATATGTACATAATTTAGTGAACTTGAAACTTGCCTCCTGGTCGTCGTCGAGTGGGATATATATATTTGTATATCGAATGTAAAGGAGCTGGCCGACTTGTCGCCCCAAACCCCCGTCACCAATAAATACGGCCCCAAAACGTAGGGGAAGCAAGGGAATTTTATGCTAAGTAATTTATATAAGCCTGTACAGTGGTAATCACGTATTTGCAAAGTTAAAACAATACCCTAATGAACTCTGATTTAAACAAAAATTAATAGCTTCTTTTCTGCTTCAAGCGATATTAAATCCAACCAATTAAGCCAGCAACTATTATTCATGAATTAAACAAAAAGTGAAAACACAACAAAAGGTATTGTATACGCCCCGTTGGACTTGTGTACTCGATAAAATTTTAATTAAAATATGCCGACAGGTAAGGATTAAAAAATTAAAGCTAATTTAATGAGAGGAATGAGAAAACATTTAAAGTCTTTAAAGGTTTAAAAGGACAGCCCTTGTTTGCTAATTAATAATAAATTATTCGAGCTCATTAAAATTATAGCTAAATTATATTAAATGATCAAAATTAAAAGAAAAAATTTGTATTTTTTAGCTCAACTTAAAACTGAATTTAAAATTAACGACAAATATGAAAATTTCAGTAAAATTGGTAACAAAAATATTAAAAACGTCTTTTAATGAGCAAAACAATTTCTTTTTTTTTCATATATTTTAATTATTATTATTATAATTTTATTTGTACTCCCAAATGCATTACTGAGTGACCACTGTACTCTTCTGTATATATTTGTATGCGAACAAACACATAAAAAGCAATGCAATATATGCGTGTACATGTGCACGACAGCACGGCATCACCAAGAAAAGCAGTATCAGCTTATTAAAGATTTAAAAAATATGTCCATGCAATGCAAGGGAGGGGGAGCAGGAAATTGATATGCACTTACCGGTCACACGGATTCCAGGACAAAAAGAAAAACAGGAAAATAATAATAAGAAGGGGAAAGACGGAGAACACGCGAAGAAGGAAGGAGCGCAACAGTAGCGCGCGGCAGCTGAAAAGTATGCTAAGAATAACACAGTAAATTCCGCTGGCTAAAGGTAAACGCTAAATAGCATTGTGTGTGTGCATACACCAAAGAAATCTGTCTAAAGATTTTACAAAAAATATATAAAATCAGAAATAACATAAGAAAAACCTTTCAAATCATATCTTATAATAGATTTAAAGTAATTTTCAGAGCAAAGTAAAAAAAAAACTAAAATAAAATGGAATAAGGAATACAATGCCCTATAATTTTCTTCAAGTGTACTATAGAAGATGAAGATCGAATTAAAAAGAGAGCAAAGAGAAGGAAAAAAGATAGTGGAAAGGAAAGTTTTCCATTTTTTATTCCATTTTTGTTTAGCCAGCTGTGTGGCAAATTGAAAGATAATAACGGACAAGGAACAGGACACGGGGAAAACAGGTGCATGGAGTGGCCAAAATGAAGCGCACAAATACCAAGTTAGCAAAGGAAATCAATTTTCTTCACTCTCCCTCTCATTTTTTATCGCATCAATCACACACACGGGACTCTGATTGAAAGCAAATCACAGGTAAACAAAGGAAATAATGACGCGGGAGAAATGTAATCGATACTACTGTCTCGTAAGCAATTTCTCCTTCAAGCAATTAATTAAAAACTGGCAAGTAATTCAATTCCAAATCAATCAATTTCTTATCTGACAACAAAATGCATGTTTGATATGTATTTAATTTCATCAAAACAATTTTAATTACAGCATTTGCTGGGGGGAACATTATAATGTAATCAAATTAATAATTTGCTTTTGGCAAAAAAAAAAAAAATTACAATTAAAGGGAAAAAACCCTGATCACACTTAAAAAAAAAAATAAATACTAGAATTTGTTCTTTTATTTACAGTTTTAAAACAAAATAAAAATTAATGGATTTACAGGTTTTAAATAAGAACTTGACTTTATTTTAAAAATATTTAAACACTTTTAAAATCCCTCTCTTTCGCTCTTAAATCATAACGGTTTTTGTAACATTTTAGCCACACACTTGTGTGGTATCCATATCTGTGTCTGTGTGTGCCGGTTTCGCACTTACCCAAAAATGTAGCGTTGTCCACTTACAGTCCACAACCGCAGAACCACAGAAATTTCGAACAACTTTTACTTCGAACGCATTAAATTACAAGGGCAATTTCATTTTACGACACTTATCAAACGCTTCACGCAACATAAAGCTGCAGGACCCTAAATATTACACGATTAGAATTAAACAAAACTAGTGAGTATCGGAATAAGAACGAAAATGATGGAACGAGCGGAGTTTTAAATTGGAAAACCTGAAAGATAGAATTTTAATCAAGGAAATGCTTACCCAAATATTTTGTTATCAATTTAACAACAAACTTTTTTAATTTTTTTATATTTTATTGTGGTGTTTTACAAACTTTAGTTAGGTTTAATATTTCAGCTTTTTATTCGGAATCAAAATAGTTGCCTATTTTCGAGGATTTTGAGATTTGTCCTTATTAATATTATGATATACAAATATTAAAAAAAACGTATAGCTGCCAATTTTCATTGGAATATACTTTAACGGCCTGCAGTATTAATTTTATTCGAAAACGGACCCACTGAACGTTTCAAGACTATTTTGAAGTTCTCACTCACTGTATAGTCCTCCTTGAAGACAACCACTAGATTAAGTTCAAACTCTGAAAGTAAATAATAAATGTAATCAAATTAGTGAAGAATAATTTTTGTTAATAATATCCTAAAAATATTTTACAATATTATGTATTCTTTTTAAGAAATAAGTCTTATTTGTCTTACCAATCTTAAAGTTCTTGGTGAGCAGCGTGGGACAGGTAAACAATCTGGGCAGAACCATATAGATGGGCAGCTCCAGTTTGGGCAGTACATTGCCATCGGCTATTTGTATTGTCTGGATTTCGGTGGCATCCTTGGAGTAGCCCTCATCGCAGCCGCACGTCTCCACGCGAACCAATTGCATTTCTATGGATTTAATTGCCGCCTCTGTATGCTGGACCGTAATGCTGCCGGTAATTGGGGTTGTCACACAGAATTCACTACGATCTAGACGGCCTGTGATGAGAAATCGCGGCATTGAAAGTCTCTCCTTGGCGGTGGCATTCTTTTGTAACGAATCCGGACTCAGACTGAAGGGCACCGCCTTCAAAGAATCCTCGCTGAGGGCCACTGGCTTGTACTGTACGCAAAACTGTTGGATTCTGGTCATGGACTTGCCAAGGAAATTCCGCTTCACCGTGCAGTTCAGCTGGTAGTTAACGTTAATGAAGACGCCGTGATAGGTTTCGTACAGCATCCTTGGTTCCTTTTTGCAAACCAAAGGAAGCTCGAAGTGGAATTCCGAGCGGCCGGCGCTCAGCTTTCCGGGAGCAGATAGCTCCAAGCTGTTCTGCAGGAGATTAATAGGCTTCACAGAGTTATAGAAGGCATCGAACAGTCCCACAGTTTTGCTGCTCAGCTGCAAATTAACGATTCCCTCCAGATATAGCATAATTCCTTCGTGTTTCGTCTCCTGCGAGCACTGAAACTGCACGCAGCCCAACAGCATGTCCTGCGAAAGACAAATACATTAAAAATTGATGTCTGTATTAGTTGTATTAATTACATTTTCGTAGTACACTTTATTTTCGCGTTTTAATTTTATGTCAAAGAGAAAAGAACTCATTTTGTTATTTGTTATTTTTCCTCAGCTGCCATAAACAGCTGATTTGGGCCATGAAAAATCAGCTGTATGATTTGGCAGCCCTGGCAAAAGCTGTTTAACGAGTTGACAGTCCCACAACACAAAAAACGAAAACAAACCAATTTTTACATAAGTTTTATTTGAATTATTTTTTAAACACAAATGCCTCGCAATCAGAATGCCGAACGGGATAATCCCTGCCTTAAGGTTTGCTTAATAAACCCAAAATTAATAAATTGCTAATAATTTGTTAATAACAGGAACAGGAGCTTTCATTCAAATGCCTCAACAAAAACAACTTCGATCACGAAAAGTGCGAGGTTTATTTTGCCAATTACAACAACTGCAAGGAGTTTTGGGTGAGTCCTTCAATGAAAGTCTATGTATTGTTAACCAATCTCTTCTTTTTCAATAGAATAAAGTGAGAAGCGAACGTAGAGCTAAAGGAATAGCTCCCTACTTGCCGCCGGTCGAGGAGCGCGATGCCATCAAAGCCAATTATATGAAGGGAAAACCTACGCAGAGCTGATATTCTTCCTCCAATGGTAATTTTTTGCTTAAAGTTTCAGTAACAATTGTGGATATTAACATATAATTTAAATAAATACGTTTTCATAAAGTTACTTCTTGGCAAATCTCTCAGAGAAACCAAAATTTTAAAATTATAATAAAACCATTTTTATATTAAACAATTGCACGTAATAAATTTTAACTTTGGCTATGTATAACATCAGCTCCCACAACTTTCAGGGCCGGCATGGCCTCCTCCAACATGGCCGTGGCCAATTCCAGTTCCAAAGTTGCCTTGGGATCATCTAGAATTAACAATTTCAAGCTGGGCAGACGGTACAGGCAGGCCAGTCCATTTGTGGTGATGTCAGTGCCCGAGAGGTCCAGCACTTCCAGATGCGAAAAGCCGCCGCCGGAGATCCTGTCCAGACACCAGTCGTCAATGGTTTTCACGTTGTGCAGGGAGAGGAACTTTAAAGAATCGAGACACCGCAGGTTCTCCAATCCCTCGTAATACAGGACCATGTTGTCACACCGCAAGGCCTCTACTTTATAGCCGGGATCAAACTTGTTGGGCAGGTTGAATTCACCGTCCTCGGTGGCCCGGTGCCAGCGGGGATCGTTGAGAAACTTGGCGGCACCGCCGCGATACAGGATGAAATGTGCAGCTGCCAACTCGGCGCCCAGAATCTTGTGTCTCTCCGGGATGAACTGCTGCATGTGCCGCTCGATCCGCTCCTGCCGGTTGTCCCACCATTGACGCATGCTCCTGGGACTCAGGTCGATGGGCCGCTGCATCATCACTATGAAATCGGAGGTCTGCTCGGAGTTGGAGAACAGTTTCAGCTTGCTGTTCCAGTCCTCAGGCCGGTCACCGATCGGAGTCCTCCACTTTAGTTTCTGCTTGTCAGCGGCCAGTTCCGCGCGAATCCTCTGCACTGTGGTACTGACCTCCTCCTCGCCGAGCTGAGCCTGGTTTGTGGGTACCGTGGAAGCCAGTCGGCGGCCACATCGGCCCCAAAAGGGCAATCCCACGGACAGGCGCTGCAACATGATTGAAATTGATATTCGTAAATAAATTTCGACTGGCCTAGAGATGTGCACGTTACGTGACCGCTGTTTGGTCTCACGATAGTTATATCGGTTACATTATTACAAAATTAAATATATAAGCATTTATACAAAGGGGGTGCTGACTTGATCAAACTGAAAATAATCTTTAAATTGGCGTTTAAAGATTTATCTGTCTTTTGTTTACGCAAAAAAAAATTTAAATTGATTAATTTTCGTGCGTGAGGCATTAGCAGTGCGGCATCGCAGCAGCTGATGGATCAGCTGTTGAACGTTTCCGGACGAGTTGGCATCCCCAAGCCAATGCGACGCCATTTTCCTTTTGCGTGCGCTGTCAAACGCAGAGTTTTTTTTCTCACATTTTCACCACAAATCGCAGACAAGAGGACTTTTCCCGAAGCAGAGATACGTGATACCACCGAACAACCAAGCAAAATCAAAATAGATGCGGATTGACCACCTGCCAAACGATTGAACCCAACGGCAGCGAGGCGAGCGCCGCTAATCTACGCTGAAAATTACGTGAATCAGCGCAAGGGGCACCCGTGAAATTGGCACTTTAATTGGCATTCTATTCGCTCCATGATGGTCAATTCGTCTGGCAGCGAGGACGGCCAGCTCCGGAGCCCCAACGACGGGCATTATCACAGGTGTGTATTGGTCGGGGGGTCTTGGGGAAAACTCGAGATTCGATTCTCAATATGCGATTCATGGAAAATTGTTGCTGCATACACACAAAGAGGCGTACATATACAGACGAGAGCTGGCAACGCGGCGGATTCCCGCCAAAAATATAGCTAGAATGTTTGGCTATTTCGTTTGTTGGCATCTCTCGTCAAAATAATAGTCGCAGGAAGGATTAAAAAGGACTTTTCAATATTAACTTTACTCTCGGATATCGACTAAAAATAATTGCATGCAAGATTTCAGATTCTCTGTTTTAATTACCAGTAATAACTACATGTTGCTCAAGGTGCTATTGAAGGTTTTTTGGAAAAGCGAAAGTTAAAATAATGAACACTCGAAAACAGCAAGTAGTTTTATACTTAAATTCTTAGGCTTAATTCAAGGAAACAACAACTTTTTACATTGTCCGGTTAACGATAACTATTACTTTAAATTAAATAAAATCTTTCTGTCAGTTTGTCGATTCGACAAGAAAATATTCTTAACCTTTACTGTCACATTATATTCAAGATATTTTGTAAAAAAAAGTCTAGGTTATACCTTTATTTTAAACGTACAAAATATGTGTGTATGCAGGAGTTGGACAATGTTTTTCCCCACCATTTTTATCTGTTAACGAATTGTACATGCTAATTCTTATAATATCGATACGATACGATCCCATTCCACCCGAAAAACCAAATATCTCCCCAAAACATACCTTTCGCGCTTGCCAATAATAACAAAAAATATATATGTATATTGAAACCAAAAATACAAAATATAAAAATTTTTGACGATTTAAAAACTATTGAATTTCTTGTACCATTTAATTGACTTGAATTTTTTCGTTGCAAATAGGCCAAAAAGTGTGTACTTGTCCCATGACCGAGGCGCGCGATGGCCAACAACAATACCTAATAATAATCATAATAAAAATATAAAAAAAAAACCAACAAAGCTATTATAAAAACAAAAACAAAAAAAAAAGAGAAATCAAAAACATAAAAGTGAAATCGAAATCGAAAGAATATAAAAAGTGCAAGCAAAATATGCAATATTCGAGTTTTATATCTGCGCGCACCAAACAGTGTCCACACACGGCGGCAGATGGGAGCGAATCTTCTCAAGAGTCAACCCACGCACGCAAATCCCGCCTCTGACCCGCTGGCTAATTAAGTGTGTTCCGAGAACCGAACACATCCGAGATATAATCGAGAGTCGAGAGAATTGAGATCCGAGATCGATCTCCTCACACTCATGTGCTGCTGGCGGTAAATTGTAAATCTGTAATTCAATTGATTCAAACCACACACAATACTATCTATGCTAATGCCTCTTTCCAAGTCCTGTCTCAATGTCTTTCGTGTCTCTCTCTGTCTCTCAAAAAAGAAAAGATAACTCCCATTCCCAGCAGGTTGCGCAGTCAGTCAGTCGAGTCGTGTAAGTCTTTGCATTTTACAGTCCTTGGGTGTCTCACAGAGAGCTCCAAGCTAAGCTCCACGGAATAGTTTCGCAATTAGCAGCAGGATCGACCCATAATCAGGTAAGTACACACCATTTGATTGCACTCAACAAGGTGGGTCGATTTTTTTTTTTATTGTATATACGAAACATGGCCATTCTAAGATGTTTTCCCTTAGGAACTATAGATCTTTTATGCAAAATAATCATACCTTTTCAAAGTGAAATGGAAGTAATAGCGTCTCTTCATTCTTTGGGTAAGTAATCAGACGGAAAGCAGCAGCAATAGAGCTCTACCTTCAATGTTATCACTTTAATTATTTACCAAAATGGAAGATAGTATTTTGCAAATTAAAATGCAGCTGTCTGTTTTCAACTCATATATATCGTACAACTCTAGTTAACCTTCTTAGAATGGCCATGATTTTAATTAAATTTAAATTAAATTAGTTAATAATCGACCCAACTAACCGCAATCGTTGCTGCTCCGAGCTCCATATAAAACCTCCACGAAACCCAGAGCAGCTTCGATCTCCGATTGCTTCAATTGAACTGAACTTAACCATACTCCGCTTATGTACTGCACCATAGATTCTGTCTCTAATCTCGAAGAATTCCAGAGCTAGCGCACACGGGGACTCGAGTCTTTGAGGCGCCCAAGGGCAAGTGTAAAATGTAATCCGCAACAGCACCGACGACTGCAGCAACAAACAAGCTTCAAGCAACTGGTCTGAGCAGCGCCTGGGTCAACTGGGTCGAGGGTCACGGGTCACTAACGTCAGGCATCGGTCCAGAATCATCAGCAGATGGGACTTGACTCCTCTTCAAGCATGACACCATAATTTTGTACCTTCTCTCTTACTTTTAGCGCTGGCGAAGATGAGGAGCACGAGGCGGATGCCGACGCGCTCTATATACAGCCACCACAGGCGAGCCGGGACTCAGGATCCGGATCCAGGCGTGAGAAAAAAAAACATTCCCGCGAACGGCGCCGTCACAAGGAGCGCGACGACGTGGTAGGAGCTGGCGGCGGTCCAGGTGACCATCGCTATGATTATCGGAGCCGGGAGGATCACTACCATCAGCACCATCATCGCGAAAGGACCGCCGCCTATGCCAAACACCACTTGGGCCATAGCTTTCACTATCAGCAGGCACCGCCACAGCAGCAGCAACCGCTGCCGCCGGCTCCCACCGGTCACTACGCAGTCCATCACCATCAGCATCATCACCAGCATTTAAGCGGAGGAGCCAGAGGGGCTGCCCGTGGAGGAAGCGACTACCATTCCTATCCGTCTGGCTATCACTCGAGCAGTCGGCACAACGACTATCCCATGGAGGAGCCACCGCCGCCGCGACGAGGCGGTAAGTACGCTGAGAGCAAGGATGCGGAGAGCTTGGAGCAAGACCTGCGCTCCAGGCTTCTGAAGAAGCGACATAACTTCGTTAAGGATTACGAAACCGAAGAGAACTACGAGCATCGTAGCGAGAGAGGTGAACGCAGGGCGGAAAGTAGTCGGAAGGAGCAGCGGGAACGGAGCGAACGGAGTAGGCACAAGCAGAGCCGACGCGAACCCGTCATCGAGCTGCTGGACAGTCCCGAACAGGAGCAGCAACAGCAACATCAGCACCAGCACAAATCGCATCGCAGCAAGTGGCGCGAGGATGTGGAGACGAACCGAAGAAAGGCGCCCGAAGATCCGGAGCTATTGGCCCGCAGGGAAAAGCTTCTGGCAGCCGAGCGCGAAAGCCGACAGCGAAAACAGATCGCCCGTGAGGAGTTGGAGGCGCGCCGGGAACTGCTACGCGAGAGAAACGACCACAGTGATGCACTTAGTCCGACGACAGTGGCGGCCAGCGTAACAGCTGGCTTGAACATTGTCAAACGCAAGTCCAAGACGGACGAAAGCTATGAGCTCGAACTGAAACACAAGAAGCGGCGGGAGGAGGCGGAGGTTGAAGTTATACCAGACGAGGATGACGATGAGGAGGATGATAGTGAGGAAAGCGACACAAACGGGGAGGATGAGAGTGCAGAGAGCGCCAGTGAATCGGGCAGTGATGAAAGCTATGCCAGCAAGAAGAAGAGCAAGCGAAAAGCCAACGACGACGACGATGACCTGCCTTTGCCCGACAGCCCACTCAGCGTTGGAGAGCTGTACAAGTCACCCAAACTGCGCCAGCGTTCGAGATCCGCCAGCTCCAAACGAAGCAGCTCTCAGTCTAGTCATAGCAGTCGCTCCAGATCTCGTTCCCGAAGTCGTAGCAGCCTTGAGGACGAAGAGGAACGACGAGGCGACGATGCTTCACCCAGCAGTAGCACACGCAGCGAGGAACGCGGAATGGCTCAACAGCCGTTGGAGGAGAAACCGGAGGATAAAGTCAAGGAAAAACCGCAGAAGGCGCTTCTGGAGGATCAGCCGCCCTGCGATGACAAGGGTGTGCCGCTGCCCAACTATTATCCCGGTGTGCAGGGCTGCCGTTCTGTGGAGGAATTCCAGTGCCTAAATCGCATTGAGGAGGGCACATACGGCGTTGTCTATCGCGCCAAGGACAAGCGAACCAACGAGATTGTGGCTCTTAAGCGCCTGAAGATGGAGAAGGAGAAGGAGGGTTTTCCCATCACGTCGCTCAGGGAGATCAACACCCTGCTCAAGGGTCAGCATCAGAATATTGTTACCGTGCGCGAGATCGTGGTTGGCTCCAACATGGACAAGATCTTCATTGTGATGGACTATGTGGAGCATGATCTCAAGTCGCTAATGGAGACCATGAAGAACCGCAAGCAGAGCTTCTTTCCAGGCGAGGTGAAGTGCCTGACCCAGCAGCTTCTGCTGGCGGTGGCCCATCTCCACGATAACTGGATATTGCATCGGGACCTGAAGACCTCCAATCTCCTGCTCTCCCACAAGGGCATCCTCAAGGTGGGCGACTTTGGTCTGGCACGCGAATACGGCTCGCCAATCAAGAAGTACACCTCGCTGGTGGTCACACTGTGGTATCGAGCTCCCGAACTGCTCCTTTGCTCGCCGGTCTACTCCACGCCCATTGATGTCTGGTCCGTGGGCTGCATTTTCGCCGAATTCCTGCAGATGTTGCCGCTGTTTCCGGGAAAATCGGAGATTGATGAACTGAACAGGATCTTCAAGGTGAGAATTTTAATATAAAGAATGTATTTGCATTTGGCAATAAGAAACACACCTTCTTTTAAGCTCTGCCTTTTCTATTTCTTGGAAAAACTATATTAATTCGATTTTTCCTTATCCATTTCCAGGAGCTGGGCACACCCAATGAGAAAATCTGGCCCGGATATACTGAGCTGCCCGCCGTTAAGAATATGCTGTCACAGAACTCACAGTTCACCGAATATCCCGTATCGCAGCTGCGCAAGCACTTTCAGGAGAAGACCTCCGAGCTGGGACTGTCTCTGCTGCAGGGCCTGCTGACCTATGACCCGAAACAAAGACTGACGGCCGATGCGGCCCATAAGCACGAGTACTTCCAGGAGTTGCCTCTGCCCATCCATCCCTCCATGTTCCCCACCTGGCCGGCCAAAAGTGAGTTGGGTGCACGCAAGGCGCAAGCATCGTCGCCCAAACCGCCGTCCGGTGGTTCGCAATTCAAGCAATTGGGCAGAGACGAACCCATCGCCGTGGGTACGGGTAACAAGCTCACATCCGGCATTATTACCGGTAACAAAAAGAGCCATGGAGCCGGCGGTGGATCGTCGGCCAGCACTGGATTCGTACTAAATGCTGGCCTAACGCAACGCCAACTGGCCATGGGACCGGGCTTCAGTCTAAAGTTCTGATTCGGCGGATCAAGATCAAGAGCATGTGTTTTTAGCCAATTAAGTTTACGATTACGATTAATTGTTATGTATAGATTAGCGATGTAAGTGGAATATTTCGTTTTATTGTATGTGTAAAAATATTGTTCCAAATATCATTTAAAAAGCCATACAACAAAACCATTCAAACCTAACAGTGTGTTTTTCTTTGTCTTTGACTTCAAGAAATTGTATTTATACAACTGTGGGGAGTGGAGTGTAGTCTGTGTGTGTTTCCCCCAAATAATTTGAAGATGTTTTCATAATCTATTTCATAAAAAATGTATATTCATTAATAATTAATCGTCCAGGGATTACTTCAACGCCTTCCTTGTGTGCCAAAGGCCCACCCCATCACTATACACCCGTAACTTTAAAACTTAAGACTAAGGGAAATACTCTCGCTCTATCCATGGGCAGTCCCTAGGTGGACCACAGGTAGAAGTAAGTGTTTTGCCACGTCGGAATGTAGTCCTTAATGGGTCCGGCCACCATTTTCGTAATGGGCACTGTTTGTGCCACAAAGTCCAGGATCCGTTCCAACCTCGATTTGGTGAAGCTATCGTAGAACGGCGACCGGACCAGGAAGTACAGAATATTTATGCAGCGCCGGCTCAGCTCCAGTTTCTGTTGCTTGGACATTAGGTGACGGTGCTGGCGGTACAGATGGATACTGTATAGGTCCACGGACAATGCCACCACATACTGCTTCCAGCTACGCTGGCCGAACAGGCCCATGGCGGCCAGGTGGATAAGGGGCTTCGATATATACAGGTACTCGGCGCGCAGCAGTTCCCGTGGTATTTGTGTCTTCACAGCCTCATTGTTGTCTACATGGAGCTTAAAATCTCGATACTGCAGCGGCGGAGCGCCTTCCACTTTGCGAATGACACGGCCGGAACGCTTCAATTGGAAAGTGATCGAGTGCTGCGACTGCAAGACGGGATCGCTGGCAGGGGCCTCATTTGCCGCCTTGCCCTGCTTGGACAAAGCCCGGCGATTCAGCGAGGCGATGGGTGGCGAGGTGATAATATCCGAGGTGGAGTGCTTCAAGATAAACCAACGTCCGGCCGCTTTGAAGGCCTGTATTAGTGCTATCACCAGCCACTTCCCAGTCTGGCCGAAAAGCCGGCGTGCCGATATCTCGATGAAGACCTCGCTGTACTCGAGCGTCGTCAGCGTGACCTTTAGACGGTAGCAAAGTTTCGATTGCAGTCGCACCACCGAATTCTCGCCGGCATTGCGTGCCCTTTGGATGATCCGATCGTTGTAGAACACCAGCATGTTGGACAGCGTATAGACCAGCTCGCTCACCACATTCGAGGAGGATATGCGTCCTGGAAACAGAGGACACTTGCTCAGGCAAACACAGAAACAGATTTTTGGGCGAAAGCCTACCTGCTATAAAGTAGGACACCCATTTGGCCGTCGTTTCAAAGTCGCCCACCACGTCCGGGTTCTTGGCCACCCACGCCTCGTATGCCTTCAGCATTCCCTTAAGTGTATCCATTTTAATATCGGAAGAGGTCCGTTTATCCCCCGGAAAAGCCAACTAAAAGTGAGGAAAAGCAGCTGCAGGTGGGCGGCTGTGGCGTTGTGGATATTCAGAACGCGTTAGTTCATTTTTTATTATCATTAAATGATGAGAAGGTGACTCAAGGCACGAAGTAGTGAGGTGCAGTACTAATCATTAAAAGTTTTTTTTTATATTTTAATGATGATAAAATACAAATCAGGATTTTTTTTTAATTTTTCAAGATTTTATTTTTATTTAATATTAAAACATTCTTATTCTTGGGATATTAAATCGATATTTTTCTTCTTTGAAATCATCAATACTAATATATTATGATACCCTGCAAAGTTAAAAGGATTGCAAGCAAAATAATTTTTAAAAAATATTTATAAATCGAATAATTAGTAATTTTCGAATTTAAAGCTTCGACTGTTGGGAATCTGAGCTTTTCTTGGCATCACGCGCTCGCGTAATGACCCGCTTGTTGTAATCAAGCATAAGCTGATAGATAAGCTGGGAGAGCACAACCTTGCTCAATGCTGCACCTGGAAAAGCACAAACATTACACATGTCTAATACAAAAAACCTTTAACTTTACCTGCCAACGGCAAACCTATAATTATTATTTTCTTTAAAGAGTCTATTGCTTTTGGGTGCTCCACTATAAAAGCGTCGCAGGCCTTCTTGATATACTTCAAAGTATATTTGTCCCCTTTGTCTAAATCAGATAAAGATTTAGAAGGTGATTTCTCAAGCTCTTGGGAGTCATCCGGTGTTCCGGATGCCTGATTATAATCATCCTTTATAAGGTGATCAATAATCTTGAACAGCTTACGAGTAGTTGAAACACGTCCTGAATCGGCCAAATTTGATTAATAATGATTTAAATTAAGATACTTATTTAAAACGTTACCAGATAAAAAGAAAGCCAACACTTTGGCTGTTTCTTGTAAATCTCCAATCGCTTCAGGGTGCTCGACTATCCATGCATCATAGACATTCTGGATATCCTTTAAGGTATGCATTTCCTGAAATTTATAAATTCTGTAATATTAGCCACGTGTACTCTGGAAATGACAAATTATATACCATAATGTGTAAAGTGAATGAGACCAGGAAACGTTTCTATTTGCGGGAGTCCCCATTCTATTTGCAATTTGTGACGTCACCAATGGCCTCAACGACTTTGGTATTTTGGTAGCCACTCTGCGAACGGTCATACTTTTGTTTGTGCTCAACTCTACGACGACGATTGAATTGCGACTGAAATCGGGGGTCGTTCCGTTTTCGTGGGTGGGATAGCTTGACAAGATTGAATTAAGAGTTGATATACGGATGTCCAGTAACAATACGGACACAGGGGACACCACCATAATGGCCAGTGCGACCTCGCTGCAGCAGGATTTCGAGGCCGGAGCCGCCGAACAGCTACCCCGCGAATCACTGGTAATGCCGTAACCCCTCGTTTTTTTCTGTCTAATCTCTAATCCGACTTTACACCCGCAGATAACGACTGCAGTCAGCTTTCTACAGAACACTAAGGTACGCCACACGACGCTTATCCAGAAGCAGCAGTTCCTCCGGTCCAAAGGTCTCACGGCCAACGAAATCCAGCTGGCCTGTGAGCGTGCCGGCGTTTTCACCCAAGATCCGAATAACCCCAATGCTAGTCCCAGCACAGTCATTAGCATTGGGTCACAGTTGCAGGCACTGCAGCCGCAGCCGACAGTCTTGGGCCGGATCCGGGAGATAATCCATTCGGCGGCTCTGTTCAGTGGAGTGGTGTATGCGGTCTACCTGTTCTGGAAGGTGAGTGGGTATTTTAAACAGTTGCTTAGGATAGCATCCATTTATTTAATAAATCTTAGGAGGGTAAAAATAAAGAGTAAGAAAGTTAAAGAGTAAGAGTGTGAAAAGCAGCTATTTAACTATAATGTTTCTAGATTTTTAGAGCTATCCATGATCGTTTAATGTTATATGTTAATTCTTTTTTTAGTTGATCAATAAACCAAAGTCCAAAGATCATTTACTCTTCTCAAACTTTATTTAGCATATTAAATAAAACCACAGATGAAAAAACTTTTAAAGAGAGTATAAAGATGCTGTAAAGCATGTTTAATTAAATATAAAAAATTAATTTATTTCTCCAAATTAATAATTAAACTTTACCGTTTATTCAAATTTAGAAATACATTGCTCCCTACCTTTTTGGCAAGCCCAAAAAGAAGCCCGTCGACGAGGTCCTGGAAGACATTGACAAGAAGGTGGAGACGCGTACCAATGACCTCAATAGGGAGATCTCGGCGGTAAAGGAATTGATCACTAGCCAGCAACGGGATCATGCCCAGCAGCTAAACCGCGAATTTAGCAATTTCCGAAGTGATTTGGATGCCATCAAGGGACTACTGTTGAATCGAAAACAGTTTGCCGGCCCGGTGGCTCCGATCACAGTGCCATCCATTCCCGCCTGGCAATTGGCAGGTTCTCCTCGTCATCACCACCATCGACACAGCCAGTCGGACGACAACGAGAAGGGCGAGGAAGATGCTGGCTCCGGATCGGGATCCTCGGAGACCGAGGTGGTCACCAAGAACAGTGACTCCAGCCTGGAGATTATGTGAATGCTATCCAAAGGACGAAGACGATGCTGGCTATATAGTATAGTAAAGTTGTAAATTGAGTTTTTCCCTTAAATGCCTTCGAGACTTTTTGTATTTTTTGCTTTGCGTTTATAGCATTTAAGTTTTCTTTATAGTCAACAGCTGCTAATTCATATCCAAAAGTACATACACACACTCACATATACACACACTTATGCGATACGATGTCTATATATATATATATATATATATAGAATATAATGTAATAAAAATGTTTACATAATAACAGGGTTTGAATTGAAAGAAACTGTTTAATTAAGCGCAAAAATGCTTATTTTTTGTGTGTTTAGTTCTTGTATCGATACATACATACGGGGTTGGTGGTGTGGATAGCATATCGTTTTTAGTTAATAAATTTTGACTTAGACGTTTAATTGGTTTCTAAAAATTTTGTTTTTTGCCGAGTGCTACTTTCTATAAATTGGCTAAATTCCCTTTAGTTTTAGTTTAAGAACTTCTCCTCAGAGCGGAGTTCTCAAAAGAGTTTATAAGTTGGAAAATATTATTATAAACTTTATTGAGAACTTTAAACACACACTGAGGCTACCGTTCCTGAATGATTTTTAATTTATATATATTTATAATTTTTGTTTATTGTGCGGTGCGTAGTTATGATTTTTTCTTGGTTTGTTATTTGTTTTTAAATACAAATTTGGTTCTCTGCGCTTTCCGTATTTAAATCGTTTTTATTTTTGAATTTGCTTCTCTACTTACGTTAGTTGTTTATCGATTTTGTACATACGATAATTTACGATAGTATTCAAATAATTGCCGTAATTTGTTTAAAGTAAATATTATATATATCCTAGCAAGTTAATAGTCTCACAAAAGATTGTTAAGGGCTTCATCATTCAGAGTTCGTTTAAAAAATGTGTGGTTTTTATTTTAGATTTGCTTGTTCTTAATTATTTTCTGTTTAGCAAGTGGAAAACAAGGATAGAGAACATAGGGGAACCTTACCCAGGACCCATGCCAAAGACCTTATAATAACCAGATGAATAGCGACATAAATTGCTTTGCTATGCATCTTATTATTATAAGATATTTGCCCATACTAAGTATGTATCATATTTGTGAGTCTTTTTTTGGGTTTTTAATTGGCCCATCTTGTTTTCTTTGTGGGATATACACGTCGTTACAGCGGCCTGGCCGGGATTTATCATCTATTTCAACTTAAATATAACATATTTACAATTACTTTTAACATTGCGATTGGGGGCAATACAAATACGTACCAGCAGCAAATGTTTAGGCTTGAAAACAATATCTTTTAGTGAAAAAAAGTAATTAACAAGACATTTTAAGACTTTGGAATGAATGTAATTGCACTATTTTACTTTCAATTATTTTAAAAAAATTATTCAGTTTCCGAGAGAGTACATTTGAAAATTAAAATTAAAGTCTAACAATGTGTAAATGTGCAAAAACTGCAAGAATTAAAAAAAAAAAGTATTTAAATAATAGAACCAATTTAAAAAAAGATATTGCATTGTCTTTGTTTCATATATCTCATTTCTTCTTTACTCTAAAATATATAGAAACACTCATTTGCCGCTGTGTTTAGACATTAACCCCCATATCGGCTGGCTTCATCCTCGTATATATCTCTAGTTTAGGCTAACAGAAGGTAACACAATGTATGGTAGTGGTGCTTGGACCAAAGTGCACAGATTGCGTTCGAAAAAAATAGAACCACGTTGAATGGATTGCAGAAGGATCCCTACGGTAACGAAATCCCCCCCTCTAGACGGCTGAATTGATGACCGCCTGCGTTGAGGCGGAACTACTGATGCTATTGGCCTGGCCAAAAGCTGATCCGGCTGAACCGGCAGCCGATGATGTGCTCGCCGTGGCCGTAATGCTCACCGCCGCCGATGTGGCCGATGTCCCTCCATCCGGATAACCGCCCGAAGCTGGAGCCGGCGATAGGGACATGGTCGAGGACGAAGGCGAGGAACAGTCGCTTTGCACACTCATGGTGGGCGAGGCGGCCACCAAATTGCTGCTGCTGCTCGTATTGCTAATGGTCAACGGGAACTGGGGCGGCGGATTACTGGTGGGCGTGTGAGGAGACAGAGGCGACAGCGTGGATGAAGTGGAGCCCGGTATGGGACTACTCGTTGTAATAGCTGCGGTAGAGCTGTTGCTGTTCGTACTCGAGGTGGTTGTTGTCGGGGCCAACGAGGATGCAGCGGTTGGCGGCGTGGTAGCCGTTGGCTGCGATTGCTGCTGGCTGGGATTTACGCCAGCGGCAGCGGCTGCAACGGCGGCACGTTCACGTTCTCTATCGCGCTGCGGCCGGAACGCCTCGCGCAGAGCCTCCACACGAATTTCGTTGGGACCCCAGCGCGCATAACCGGCGCTGTTTTGCAGCCACACAACCTGGGTGCCCTGCATGCACTTGATCAGCACTTCGGATCTACAAAAAGATGAAAAGATTCGGTGATAAAGTACCCAGGGTGTGGCTATAAATTCAGGGACTTACTTTTGCATCATGTGCTGGTAGCCATGCCTGTATTCGTGAGCCATGCCGAGGACCACCATGGAACGACGCTTGTACATGCTCTCGTCCAGCTTGGATATGCTCTTCCACTCCGGTAGAAATACAATAAAGCTGAGAAGGATTCCACACACATTAAAAACTGCATTTTATACAGAATAATCTCTTTTACCTTAAGGGCTCCATGGTATCGGTGAGCAATTTGTCGATGTGCAGCAAGGAGGCCTCGATCAACTCCTCGCAATGCGGCGGATTAACTTGGAAGGACCCGGAAACGGGCTTAAAGTCAAGGAAGGGCCTGAAATTATTCAAAAGTCAGCAAGGCTCTATTTAATAGAGCTCGTACTTACCCCCTGGAACCGAAGTAGGCATCCGTATCGGCAAACGCCGAACAGTATTGGCGGAAATAGGAATTAAATGGCGAAGCAAAACACTCGAAGCTGACGCCAAAGTGCCGATGCAGGCACTCAAAAACGGGAACTGGCAGGGCCGCCTGTGTGAGCTCCGCCTCCTGGGAGGAGTTCAGGGCATTGCCCAGGAAGGTCTGATACCGCTTGAGCAGGCACCACACCCGACCGATGAACAAATCGAACTTCTTGTCATCGAAACAGTTGTGCCGGTAGAGTTGCTCCAGCTTCTGCAGATAGGTCAGGTTGATGTACTGCGCATCCGGCTGGTTAATCGTGGCGGGCGTATACTTGATGATCATGTGGTCGCGATCCTGCAGATACTCGATCGCCGGCATGCGTGGCGATGGGACGGCAAACTGTATGGGATAGCACCACACCTTCTTCAAGTGCGGCGGTGGCGGCGGAGGCGTTGGTTCCGGTATTCCGTGCTCCTTGAGCAATTGCAGATGCCTCTCCCTGATCTTTCTAGCGTGATCCGCCGATAGATGATAGATCTTGACGCACAGTGTCTCCACGGAACTCTTCACCGTTTCCACCAAATGTGGCTCACATTGGCGCTTTAAATGAGCCAGTCGATCTTGGAAATCCTCGTAGCTGGCTCCCACGGTACGTCTTAGCCACTGGAACGTATCCTCCACATTCCATTTGACCACCTTTTTTGATTCTGCCGGCGCCGAACGGGATTCGATAATCTGCTTAGCTGCCTCGGCGTAACGAGAGAGCTGCTTTCTTGCATCCCCCGTAAACTTGGGCTTCACAATCTTGATGGGTATATCGGACATGATCTCACGGTACATGGAGCTGGAGATCTCGGGCAGACAGCTGCTGGGCAGTAGAGGATCGCAGCCGGTATCTATAACCTTGCGTTCCATCAGCCAGCGGTTGAATGAGTCACGCGGCGCCTTTATATTCTCTCGCCGCATGCACAGATCCTCGTAGGTCTTTAGTAACTTCATGCTAAAAGCCGCCCTAAGAGCCTCCACCTCCGGGTGTGGCTGCGGCAGCAGGGTGGGCGGACGTTCTACGATCACGGCGTTGGTACACACTTCCAGATCCCAGGGTCCGGCCAGTACGAATTTCTTCATCGGCGGCCCACCGCCCACATGGTGCTGCTGATTGGGATGGATGTGCATATCGTCTGAGGGCCGGCGCTTCAGGTGATGGTGGTGATGATGATGATGCTGCTGTTGCTGCTGCTGGTGTTGCTGATGCATGTTTGGGGTCATGGGCGTGGCCCCGCCGGCATGACAGATGCCCAGCGGATCGGTGAGCGGATCGAACGGCCGGTTGCCGGGCATCTCCCACAGCGACTCGCCGGTCACCTTGTTCCAGTAGTACGGCCTGTTCTCCCGTTTCGACCAAAACTTACGCCAGCCCTGGTTTACCAGCTCGGCGGTAAGCTCTTCGCCGTAGCCGCCGGGTCCCAGTGTTGGGGGCCCTTGGGGCGTGTGTGCCATACTCTCCAACGGCGAGGGAGCATGTGTTTTCGTCGGCGTCGATGGAGACGAGCAACTGGGCACCGGCGAGCTGCCCGCTCCGCTGCCCTGCAACGAATCTCCGATTATCGGTCCGGTGACCGTAGGCGCTCCGGCTGTTGGCGAGGGGGCTATGTTATTGGAGGCACTCGCTGTCAGCTGATCCCAGGCACTCTGCGCAGCGGCGCTGGCGGATGAGGAAGAGGCGGATGTGGTGGCCAAGGGCAACGGCGAGGAGCCCATGCCGGGCGTTCCCGTCGACGCAATCACCGAAGACGGCATGGCCCCCGCTCCCGTTCCCGCGACCAGGTTGTGCATATTGCTATTGTTGTTGGCTGCCATGCTGGACTAATCTATCTGCAAAAGAGAGAGGTAAACAAAACAAATGTTTACAATCAGAGAGCAGAGAAGCTGAGCGCTGAGAGAGAGGCAAGGCGAGAAGAGTGCGAAACAGAGAGAACAGAGGAGCGAATAATCAATCAGTGCTGACGAAGAGCTCAGCGGGAAATACCTTATGAAGAGAATCTGAGTCCTAAGCCTAGGATGGAAAAAAATGGTTTCCTATTTGTCGGGTCTTCAAATTTCAAGGGCATAAGTTTTTACTTTGTGTTTGTTTTAAACAAAATCATGCAATAAAAGAATTTTATAACTATAATTAATTGTAGTGTAAAAAAAAGTGTGAACATTTAAAACAAATACATCTTAAACAATATAAGAGGTAAAATTAAATAAAAGCTAATTCTAGCCGAAAAACGGCTAGCTCTGCATGTCCAGCACAGCAGATAATGAAGTGAGCGAAGAAAGAAAAGGAAACAACCACCCACCGGAGAGCTATAACTGCCGTTAGTCGACAACAGACACTCAGCGGAGCGAGATCGGGGGCGCGCTCAGTGCGGACGGAATTATGCGTGGGGATCTTGGGGGCCCACGGATTTTTACTGTAAAACAATTTGAAATATACCCGAAAATTACGGAAAAACATACTGTCACCAGCAAACTGAAAAGTTGCGGCCCCCGCCTTTATAAGCAGCCAGAGAGAGGCGGCGGCGCGAAAGAGAGAGAGAGCCGTCGAGAGAGCATGACAACAAAGTTCGCTCTCGCTCGCTCCGTCGCACGAATGAGAAATCAAAACAAATTGCAAAAGAATAGAGATTTTCTGCCGTCGCCTTCGCCTCGCCTGGGTTATGTGTATATGTTTTGACGAGCGTGTACCTAAGCGTATGCGCACACCGCCACAAGCGGGAATAAAAAATATACAAAATTATTTGCTGCACTCGCACACACACACACGAACGCTGCACTCACGGCGGAGCCAGGCATTATGCACGCCATATAAACAATTGCGAAAAAAAATTACACTTGGGATTCGTGGCCCCCGATGGCTACGTCATAGCACTAAAATAATGGCGCGCTTTTTTGTTAATGCACACACAGTTCGCAATGGGAAATTCGCTAAAATTAAAGAAAAGAGCATAATCAATGGGCTTCACAACGGGAGGGTCCTTTAATTTAAACAATTTGCATGGAAGATCGGGAGCGGGGAGATAAATAAACAACATTCTGAGTGCAACGAAAATTTCTCTACACTTTCTTTTTTGCACCCACCAGGCACATCAATATTTTCCATTTTATATACGCCTGCTGCCTGGCATCGTGTGGCCGTGTTTTTGAAACGCCATTTAACGCCACAAAACTCACCCAGTTTCAACTATCCTATTCAGATAAACACTCGCTACGTGTTTTCAAACATTTAGGCGATATCTGGACGTAAATATTCCCGCGATTTTCTATGGAAATTTACAAATAATTCTTCTGAAATTCTTTTTCAGCGACGACAATAGGCTGTCAAAAAGTCGATGACGCTATCGATAGTAGCGATGTTTTTGCTCTGGCCCGTACTATCGATTGCGGTAATTAGCATAAACAAGGTGAAAGAATTGGCTAAAGTGAAAAAGTGAGATTAATTAAATCATGAAAATAATTAATTAATTAAAACAAATAATTAAAAAAAAAGTAATGTTAAAAACAATTTTTATTTGTGGCGACAATAAATCGAAACCAATTTTTGGCAACGTAGGGAAATTCAAAATGAAATATGATAAAACATCGATGACACTATCGCTTGTGAATGGGTGGAAAACATTGATGTTTTCCAAAATACACTGTGAGAAAAGTTTGTTAAAAAACAAAATTCTGACATCAGTGCATTGGAATGTTGTAACATTTATTCTTTAATTTATTGTCTGAAGCTTTAGACAGATTTCTATGCTAATGTTGAGATCGGGCTTGTATCGGTTTATCAGGCGTAGCAGGTTGAACTTTTTCGCTTTGGAGTTGTTCGATTCCAATTCGTACAAGGTCGAAAGGTTGACCAGCAAGCTCTCGTTCAAAGACTTTTGGGGATTAAGGTTAATGGCGCGCTCGTACAGGTTTATAGCATCCTTCAGCTTGCCGGCATACAGAAGGCACACTCCCATATTGTTCAGAATCATCGTATTGCCGGAATCCAAATGCAAAGCCTTTTGGAATATCACATAGGCCTCGGGAAAATCGTTCTTAGCCACGGCTATAAGGCCCTTGTCCACCAAATCTCGCAGATCTGGAGAGGTATTGCTGGAAATGAAGGAAAATATATAAGAACGTTTCTCGACTGGTTTATGGAATAGCTCACATTTCCCTGAGCCTTCTTGAGACGGCAAACTTCTGTTCAGCTCCAAAAATATCACCAATTTGCAGGTATATGCGTCCCCACGCAGAGTACAAGGTCCGCTGCTCCTCCTTGCTCAGATTGGACCGCTTTAAAAGGGTTCCCTCCATGATGTCGTCTATCATACTGAATTTCTTCATCTGCAAATATGATGTTGTATTATTATATACCAAAATTATGTATGTCCAAGCTTGATTCACACCATTAATCCACAGTTGATGATCGAATGCAACACCCTTTCGCATCGCCTCTGCCAAAACTCCTCAGCCGGTTTGTTGCGCAGGTTTATGTAGTGTTCCATGATCTCACGGCTGGTAACATGGAGTTGCGACAGTCTGTCCAGGGCTATGTGCGGCTTACCCAGATATATCGGCAGCTCTGCCAGAAGAAGGCGGAATGAAAAGCAGGCAATGGAGCCGCTCTTGCCATTGTACATCTCCGGATAAAAGTCGTAGAAGACATCCGGACTGGTTAGCTGTCCAAATGGTTCCGCTTCGGCATTCAGTAGCTCGAACTCGCCCAGTTTGGCCAAGAGGGCCAGGCGGGAGAACCACAGTTGTAGCGAGTGTGGCGAGTGCTTGGCCGGTTGCCCAGATCTTCCATATCCCTGGCCATAGATGGTTAGCAGGCGCCCAGTTAGATTTACAGCTGTGCGATAGCAACCAGCATGGATGAGGGTCCTCAAGCCGCGCTCATCCTGAGTGACATCGTCAACGCGAAGGATCTTTCGGTGGGCTAGCTCCGCTTCTCCGAGGTGCTGGGTTACTGCAATGGAAATGGGATCCGGCTGGAACAGATGGAATGTTTTCAAATGTCCTTACGGGGCATCTTTTGTCCTTCTACGTGGGCTTACCAGATCATTCTGCAGATGAATTCCGGGCATTATAAGCTTGCCTGGTTCGCCCTCCCGCGGCAACTCCCACAGACTTCGCACATCTTCGCCCACTTTTAGAGAATCCTCTGCCTCGGGTGTCTCCACATATTCAGGTGCCTGGAAAAATCCGGTGAAGGTGTTGGACATCATGTTACCACCGGAGCTGGTGCTGCCGGCAGCGGGACTACCTTCTGCTGGCATCTCTTTGGACTTGGGTTTGTTTGTCAGCTCATCGAAAAAGCTGGGCGGATCGTTAGCAAAATATTCGCTTATTTTATTAGACATTTTTCCAGAGCAGTGTGCCCGCCGGCTTCTACGCGAGTAACCCCTAAAAGTCAGTTAAAGTGGACTTGTCATTTCCCGTATCTTGTATAACTGGTCACACCCGTTCCCCTAGAACGATAGGGTTTGAGATACAGATACATCCATAGATGCGTCGATGTTTGAAACGATATCGATGTCTTTATCGATTTCTCAGTACGAAATTATCTATTTTGAATTTTGAATATTTATATGCAGATATTTAAATATGCAGATTTTAAGCAGTCAGATAAATTTAAAAATAAAACTAATTAGAAATAAACCCTCAAAATTCCTTAAATAAAACCAGATACTATATAGTAATTCGAATTTATTCATCTACAGCCATTACATTATTGTACATATAAAGCAAAAATTAGTTTATTATAAAGCTAACGAATTCATGCCATTTGATGACTAATTTTCCATTTGCTTTTTTTCCTAACATTAAAACGCATTACGCCTTATTTACACACACAAAAAAACAGCCTCGCTTCGAACCGAAGTTTATTGACCATTGAAAATGGTTTCGGGATAATAGCTGGGGGCATTGAACATGCGCGGGAAGCCATTTCCATCCAATTGGCCCACAGGCAGGACCGACATTATATCACTGCAAAGAAACAAAACAAATATATAGTAAGGGTATACAAATATAAAGTCAATATTAATTTCAAAAAAATTTCTAAAATAATACTAAAAATGGGTTGAAAATTTACAAAATCATACGTATAATTGATATGTATTTTTAGGAATTTTTTAATTTCTTTAAAGTCATGTCTCATGTAAAAATTTTCATAAAAACTACTTTAAAGTTACAATAAGTAATAGATATTAAAATAAACAAAACTGAACCTTCTTATTTTTTAAATATTCCAATTTAAGACCCCCGACATTAAATTTAAATTTCCATTCAAGGCTTCCTAGCTATGGATATGCGACTGTATAATTTTTAACATAAAATAAAACACATTTACTCCACTTGTGAGTTCCAGTGCGGTATGTGGTTCATGGTGTATGGTGTATAGTGTGTGTGCTGCAATTTGACGCTTCTCCTGGGCAGGCGAAGCGATCAAACAGCGGGAGGGAGTGAGTGGTGTATGGTATGGCGATTAGGGGACAGGCGGCGGCACATGCTACACGCATGCGCTGCGTTAGGAGGAGCCGGGGCACGTCCCGGGTCCCTTGGCTCTATAAATATGCAAAGGACCGTGCAAAGGAGCCGGCGAAATTGGACATAAAACACGCTCAAGTGGGCGGGACTGGACGCACAAGTGCTTTACGGTCACTAACAAACGATCTTTAATGCCAATTCCAAAACAATTGATTATATTCGTTCGGATTTCGAGGAGTTCTCTGTGCTCTAGGGTGTACAACACGCTCGCCCTCAAGTGTTGAATGAATTGTTTTACGAGTTATGAGGAAATGGAAATGGGCAAAGACCGGCTACAGTTCGTCTTTTACCAAAACGTTTGAGTTTTGAGTGTTGGAGTTAAGGGGAAAATAAATGTACATACAAAAATCTGACTACAGTCAAAACGATAAAAATGGATACTAAAACGGAACAAGAAATTGGTAAAATATAATAATTATTGTATTCTGTGAGTCCTAGAATTAGTTTTAGAAAACTATACAAATTAATATTTAAAGACTAGCTAGGGAAAGGATCAAATCTAGATGTAGATTGTCCTGGGCGTTTTTGTAAACTAATTCTAAGGTTTATTAAGCAAAAAGCTGGTATCTTGGACAATAAAATTGTAAATATTACTTTCTAAAATTTCAATCAATCAATCAAATTTTAAAAAAATACAAGAGGATGGGACTGAATTATAATCAGTTTAAACTTGATCTTAAACTAAAAATTCTCTTATGTAAGTCAAAGTTCAAATCAACTTACGGTCTTTGCTGTGGCGTTCGATCCCTTTGACGGCGGTTCTTAAACCAATTGGACACCTGGGTGAGCGTGAGGCCCGTCTTCTTGGCCAGGGTCTTCTTTTCGTCGGGCGTGGGATAGCGATTGGTCAGGTAGCAGTCCTTGAGGGCATTCCGCGACTTCTCCTTGAAGCAATACACCGTCTCCTCGCCGTCCCAAATAGTCTTGGGTAGTGGATACTTTTTTCGCAGTCTATACTTGTCCACGGCTCCTAGAGGTCGACCGCGTACCTTTTCGGCCTCCTTGTAGTGGGCTTTAAACCAGAGATTCTGTAGATCAACATGGTACTTCATTGAGAAGCAATGCGTCTCCAGCAAGTTGTATAATTCATGGAATTGCCCCAGATTGTAGGCAACCATGGCCCGTGCCCGCAGCACACTCTCGTTGGTCTTGAAGAATTCGGAGGGAGGCAGGCTGCACAGGAACGTGGTGAGCTTCTCAATGTCGCCCTTTTGCTGCAGGGCCTCACACATGCACTGGATCTGGAAGGAAAGAAGCATATTTAGAAGGGGTTGTCGTAGAGTAAATTAATTTTGTAAAATTTATAAAACACCTCTTAATGGATGTCATTATCTCACCTGATCCGTAGAGAACTGCAGCATTTTGGCATCGATGGGAAAGCTGCCAACGGCGGACATGTTGTGGGCAGCCGTGAGATTCGATATGAGATGACCACCGCCTCCTGGATTGCCGCCTAAACCACTTCCTCCCCTTGACAAGCCACCGCCTCCGCCGCACAGGGAATCCGTCTTTGTGTTCCCATTGAGATCCCCCAGATTGCCGGCGCAACCGTTCTCAAAGATAATGCTATTCAGGCTGGGATAGTGAGTGGGCGTGGTCGAGGCTGTGGGCGGCGGTGACTTGTCGTAGTCATTGGTTATGTCCTGGAATCTTCGCTCCAGCAAGTGATCCTTTTCCGCCGTCTCATAGGGTGCAAATTTATCCAATTGCAAAACTGTTTTGCATGATAGATTGCCACGATAGCCTGAGGATGGGAGGGAAATCATCACCATGTGGACAACTAAGGGTAAACCCCAGACTACATATAACCACT